GTTTATCTGGAATATCTGCCTTCACTTTGTCCTGAGATCTGGAAGACCCAGGGGCTCACAGGTAAGAGAGAAGAGTGAATCTGTTTGCAGGAGTGTCACCAAGGCTTTCCTGTCATAGTATGACTGTTCTGATTGCTGGGGTTACTTTGATATTCACACCTATTTTGTGACTTTCAAACAATCATGGATGGAATTTAGATATAAAAATATCAGCTGATAAGTATAATTAACATCCCCTCTTCAGTCTTCTGGCTCAGGCTGGAGAAGGGTGCCAATTTCAAAAATTACTTGGTTATTTCTATATATAAAAGGCTAAGTGACCGACCATCTGACTGTCCAACTGGTGGATCGGTTGGTCCATATGACACGCACTGGCAATACTATATAATAAAAGCCTAATATGCTAAGTGTCTGACCGTTCGTTCAACCATTCGACCAGTTGCTATGATGCACACTGACCACCAGGGGGGCAGACGCTCTGACTGGTAGGTTAGCTTGCTGCTGGGGTCCGGCCCATTGGGACTGGGCGAGACAGGCCTGACATGCCCTGGAACCCTCCCTTGGTCCCTCCCCAGCTCTGATTGGCCCAGATAAGGGAGAGACCGGCCAGACATGCCCTGGAGCCAATCTCCTTCGGTCCCTCCCCAGCCTCTAAAATATTTCTTCTAATTAATTTCCTTTCAATGTGCATGAATCCATGCACCGGGCCTCTAGTTTAAGAATAAAAAGCCAAGTGATTCATTTTTAAAGGTCACATTAAAATGCCCTGTTTCACATTAAATAGCTCTATTCTTTTCAACTATGGCTAAATAATTACGCAGGCCGTAAGAACGGCTGTTCGTAGGATTGATCTCTCTGAGATCCTCTTCTATAGTGTTTGGTAGAAAAAGGATGTTCAAGAGATCCCCAAAGGGCCTTCCCTTTTTTGCCACCTTCCCACCCACCCAACCCGCCCTGCCATCGCCGCCTTTTATTTAACCTGGGTCCCGATGAGGACGTAAGGCACATGAGGCATGCAGTCCTTCAGCTCCGGGACCCATTCCTCCTGGACATTGTGGTAAGAGGCAGGATTTACGACCGAGAAGCAGATCAAAAACACATCCGTGTTGGGGTAGGAGAGAGGCCTCAGCTGGTTGTAGTCCTCCTGTGGGGAGAGCAGAGAGGTTGTACAGCCTGATGAGGGGGGTCCCGTTTGGTGCAGTGGAATCCTGGCACAGGCAAGATTCCACAGACCCCGTTCCTTCCCCTGCCCCGGAATCTGGTGCTTGCTTATGTTACTAGAAATAAAGGAGCCATCAGTTAGGAGACACCTTTTTGTTGTGTGTGGAGATGATAAATTGCTCCCTTTTAAGATGAACTTTAAAAAAATATTTTTAACAGCTTTAGTGAGATAATTTACATACCATAAAGTTCACCCATTTAATGCGCATACTTCAATAAGGATTATTGCAATTCTGTCACATTGGAACTGTGTTGTACTGAATATGTTTTTAAATTAGTGGGCCATTGGCCAAGGCACAGAAATTCTCTCCTTAGACAATTTTTAAAAGTTGCATTTAAATTTAACTTAGAAAAGCTAACTAAAATGCAAAACAAAGAGTTGAAGAATTATGTTGTGTGAATGTTTAGAGCTCAGAATTTGGGATTTGTTTCTAAGTCTACCTACCACCATAGGGTGGCCTAATAAATAAAATGCCAGTTTAATTGTTTTCTCCCTAGAGACTTTTCTGACCAGAATATGCTAAGAATGCTCCTTTCCAGGCCATAACCTACAACTGTTTATGACACCTGCCCTTTTCACGTATTCCTCACACCCGGGGTGTCGTAAACGGAGCAGGAACTTGCTGATTTTTTCCTCATGCCCCACTTGTACTCTGTCCATGGCAAATATTCCATAAATGCTGTTGACTGATTAGATGACACTGGTCTTCAGTGACCTGCAAATGAACACATGGCTTTTCCATGGACCACTTACTGCAATAGAATCATCTGGGGAGTTTTAAGACCATCTTGATGCCCTGTTAGCCAACTACCTCCCCTTACCCACTCTCCTACTCTGGGACAAATTAAATCAGAATACCCGGCTTGCATATCTGGGCATTCGGACTTCCTTGGTCTGGAGTTGAGAACAGTTATTTACATCATCATCATCATCATCATCATCATCATCATCATCATCATCTTCACCATCAAATATATATCAAGGACTCATTCCTAAGGGCATTGTTTCAAGCACTTACATGCATTATCCTGTTGAGTCCTCACCACTGGAATGATGGTACCATCACTGTCCACATTTCATAGAAGAGGAAGTTAAGGTTAAGAGAAGTTCAGCAACTGACAAATGTCACAGAACTATTAAATATCAGGATGGGATATTTAGCCTGAATCCAACTCTAGCTCTTAATCGTGACCACACTATTTGCTTCAGAATTTTAAGTGGCAGATTAAACATTTTCTTGAAAATTCAGTTACCCATGAATCTTAATATAGACTCATGCTTTACCCAGGGAGCTAAGAAACTTAGAGACCACAGTGTATATATATATATAGTTATCTATTTCATGGCCTGCATCTATTAGGAAATACCACCAGATGGCAGCAAACACTGTATTTTTAAAACCTCAAAGCCAAAAAACAAAACACAACTGGGAGGAATGTCACAGTGAGATGAGGTAGGAGCAAATAACTGGTAGTCAGAAAGGATCATGTTTATTTGACTTTCTACCCAGAAGCTATCAAATGAGTCCCTCCAGCTGAGGGGCTTCTGACCGTGTCCTTCATTGGGCCTTATCCTGCTCTGTATTCTGATCTCTCTTCTGTGGAAACGTTAGTCTTGCTGGGTTACTCCGTTTAAAAAGATGTATTAAGTGCCTCCTGAACATCTGTCACTGTGAAGGATGCTATATGAACTATAGAAAGTGAATAAGAATTGTCAATCCAGTCGGGGGAAAGAAATGAAAATATGGGAAACAACTCAATTTATGTGGAAGTGAGACGGGTGAAGTATTTCTTGTTCTTTGTTAGCTCCATGATCATAGAATAATGAGAATCTTGATTTGGCCGAATGATTTGACAGTCAGTACCGTGGCTCCCAAAAGCATGGTCCCCGACCAGCACCATTGGCATCACTTGGGAGCGTGGTAGGCATGTCCACTCCAGGCCCCGCCCAGCCCTCCTGGAGCTGAGGCTCTGGGGGAGAGGGGGCTGCACCCTCGGTGTCTCTGTGTGCCCTCCAGGTGACTCTGCATCGCGTTTCAGAAACACGGGTTACCATGCTTTCCTTTCCCCTCAGCCAATTTTGTATTTTAAGAAACCCAGGCCTAGACAGATGATCTAAGTGATTGTGTTGGGACTAGAGAGCAAACATACCTTTAAAGAAGCCTCACACCTGGGCCGCCTGGGCTCTTTCAGCCCCCTTTGCCACTGGACAGAGCTGTGAAATGTGGCAGGGGTTGGGGGTTAATAACAGGGACTCCTGGGGACTGAGAGCGGGGCAGTGGGAGGTCGAGGGATATGAATGTGTACCAGCTGATAACTTAAGTGACTTTTATTTGTGACGGAGCACATTGTGAGCCTAGATTGGAGGTTGAGATGGTGTAAAGGGCTGAGAGGAGTGGATAAGGAGTCTAGCTGGTATTTGAAATTGAGAGTGGAAGACCAGTGCTTGAGTGCTTCTTGAAGGGACAGTGTTTTAATCTAAAAGAACTCAAATGGGGCTTTGGAGGGTTAAAGTGGACAAAGAGGCTGGGGTGAGGGTTGAGGTGGGAAACGGGGGGGGGGGGGGG